GGATGTACTACCTTGTTGGAAGATGATAAATTACTAGTGCTAGTGCCGGTTCTATTACTGGACAGAGATAGTACCTTTGAAATTTATCAGGTGATGAATCTTCCCCTTCCCTATCCAAAACTAAGGCCGAAGATTGGAGCGGTGGCTAGGTACAAAGTAGAGACAGAATTTGTTGCCTTAAACCTAGCCAGGACAGAATTTATGCTATTAACAAAGGGAGAAGCAGAAAAATGAAAGAATGATGCCTTAGGTACCTGTGGGTCTGTAAGTCCAATTTACGTGACAGGTAGTCTTAATCTGTGTGTACTAGATTTATTTAAGAAACATATGAAGGGAATTAGAGGTCATTGTCAGGTAGAGGTGTTGGCTAGTGTAATGTTACCTAAAGCAACCAGTGTCTCTGACGGAATTTAGTCGGTGGCCACACAAGAAGAGATCGAATTATCTAAGGTGTGTGAAGGGAAGCCCACCACTACGATAAGAGTTATTCGCCCTTTGTTTTTTGTAGAGCTACCCATTGGTTGTGGGGCTCATGGTCCATCTATCTCTTTACCTCTCTACTACCAAGCAGAAGAGAAGTTTGAAGAGAATGAGGCTTTGTTAAAGGTGGTAGGAACAAATGCCAATGGATGGACGGGATTGTGGGAACCCATTGTAAGAGAGATTCCTAAGATGTCGCTAGAAAAGATGCCGGCGTTGTTAAAGCCAATCGATAAGATTGATCTTGGACGGTTGAAGTCGGAGTTAGATAGGATAGGTACGTCGAATTCGGGCTGAAGAGAGAATTTGATTGCTATAATAACCTGGCCGACCGTTGTGGGAATTATACTAATGATAGTCGTGGCCTTGCTGGTTTGGTGGTGGTTGAAGAGGCGTGCGGTGTGGTCGACCGGGCAGAATAAACTGGCACGGAAGTGCAGGAGTGAACGAGGGGATTCCAGTTAGTGCACTTTACCAAGGTAGGTCCGACCCGAGTGAATTGGGATCCATAATGACATTGAAGAAGAGTCCACGATTGTCATGGAAGGACCTGAACCAACAAAAGATTCGACGAAGGCGAGACAAAATCGGAGGGACAGATTTACGAAATAAATCAATTTTAAAAATTTTTAGTAATGAAACTGAAATAATTGGTAAGGTGTGTTGCTAAATCCAAGAAGAAAAAAAAGAAAAAAGAGAAAAAAAAAGGAAAGAACCCTCGAACTAGTGAACGATGTGAAATGTTTCTATTGCACGAGATCACCAAAACAATGAACTTTAACCAGAAGTTGCATGTACATATGTATCGTAAGGACAATGAAAATGTAAATGGGCATAATGAGCCCTAAGAAGAACTGAGGACTCTACATTTGCATGTTGGAAGAGACGTATGATTAAGTAGTTCCCTAGTAAGAAGTATGTTGGACTGGATTTTGTTAATATGAAAGCTTTACTTACTAGTAAATGACAGATGGGTAGGGGAGGAAATGTGTGTGTGTGTGTGTGTGTGTGTGTGTGTGTGTGTGTGTGTGTGTGTGTGTGTGTGTGTGTGTGTGTGAGAGAGAGAGAGAGAGTCTGGGAAACACACACACATGCAGACACACACACGTATATTTCTTTTACTGAAATTGGAGTAGATTTGAATATCGAAATTATATCAGAGCATTTTGTTTACTGATGAAGAAATCTGATCTAGGGCAGAAGTTGTACCCATTGAATCTGGGTCATCAGAAATCAATGGAAATGGTCGAAATAATTTTTATCGATTAAAAATTGAAATAGAGCTGAGTAACGTAGAAGGAACTTTGGAATTCACATGATTTTGGTTGAAGCAGCCATAACCCCGTGATAATCGCGTGCGAAGTTGTAGGCCCGAGGGTCAGTTATAATCAGCCGAGTTTATCTATATAAACGCGTGGTTATGCCGAAAAGGTCAGACTGGAGAAAATTCTTGAAGAGAGAAGAGAGAAGAAAGAATTGTCCCGGGCGAGCGTTGGGAGGAGGAACGCCACTATAACTTTAAACCCCGCACAGAAATTTCTCCCTCCATCGCAAGAGTCATATATCGTTCTGAGACGATTTAACATACACACACTCTCTCTCTGTCTAGAATCCAGTGTATGAGGGTTTTTTTTTACTTTTCTTTTCTGTAACCAGTTTCTCTTTTCTACTATTCTTTTCTGCTATATAAAAGACATTAACAATTCAACCATGGAATCGATGTTTGTTCGGCTTTCTGCAGATATTAATTTTTTTTTGCTGCATTCTAAATTACTTAGCGCAACTCCCCAGCCGTGTCTACATTTTCAGTCGACCGTAAATGGGCAGACATCACTTCTGCTTTCTGGATCAAACAAATCACAACGTGGGCAGGAAGCAGGATTAATCTACGTCTGCTCAGGGGACCTATGGCCACTCCCTTAAGTTCGGTTAGGACCGAGGAGACACCTCAACCCAGAGAGTATGACGCCGGAGGTTGAGAGGCCGGGGCGAAAGTGTTAGAAATATAGGTAAATGTACAAGCAAGCGTACGTATACAAATCTATCTATCTATCTATCTATCTATCTATCTATCTATCTATCTATCTATATATATATATATATATATATATATATATATATATATATAAACCATGTAGTGTAAGAAAGCAGGCCTCAAGTTTAAATAACAATTCTATTTAATATATTAAAACATAAACGTAATAGCCCAAACTTGAAACCGAAGTTTGCCTAAGGCATGAAACCCTATGTTTGACAACAATTTCTGCGACCCCATCGCTCCTTAGATCTGGCCATCTAACTCCCCAGGCTGCGACACACTTGAGTATTATTGTGGGGTGCAATTGAACGAGAAGACAACAAAACTCCTTGTAAAACCAAAGGTGAACTGCAGGCAAGGATTATGGCAACATTCGCCAATTTAAACAAGGAGGCCATCCAGAAGAGATGCAGGAGATTTCGAAGTCGTTTGGAGGCCGTGGTTGAAGCCAATGTAAAATAGGTTAGTTTATAAAACGATGACAATCGAAAGGGTAGCAATACAATCAGTACGATGATTAAATATTAATTATTAACCATATGACAGAAATAAAGCATAGAGAGAAAAGTTTGTAGAAATATTTCTGCTCGGTTTTTCATTGAATGTTAAAATCCTGAGTGTCGCCATTTGATACAATGACATAAACTATTATGGTGGGACTTCTCGTAATTCGGCCGCTTCATTGAAAAAATAAAATCCAGTAGAAAAGACAACGTAGTTTCAATGAATAAACATTAATTTAATATAACGACAAGAATACAAGCAGTTGGTCATAGACTGGAAAGTAATGTCTTTGTTTGGGTTCATAAAGTTCTGGAACAGAATATAAATTCTATTTCTGTACGTAAAGTCAATACGTGTGTGCGTCGTTCATAGTAAAGAGGATACAAGAGATCGTTAGAAATTGTTTCTTACTGTTGGCGGTGTTGCCGTAGTCTGTTTGTAAACGTTGTCGCTTTTAGCATGAGGTCGTGAAGATCATAAGCGAAAGTGGTGTGGAACTTGGTGACACCTGTGCGTATCCTGTTTGGGGCTGGATTTCGTATGATTTTATACATTTTTTCGTAACAAAATCAGCTCCAGAAGTAAATTATTTATTAGAGATTCATAGGTTGGGGAGGGGGAAAGATGTCTCGGGTGTCGCATGTTGTTGCCAAAATTGTCTGACCAAGTTGTCAAGTGTAGAAAGACGAGATGTGGTTAGAATGTGATTAGAAAATCAGGAGAAAACTTGGAATTTATAATAATAAAATCATATATATTTATTAAAGACATTTTTATGTTTAACGTTCTTTTTTATAGATACAAGTATTTAAGTAAATGCTCTGTTTATAATAAACAGTATTAAATAACATTTACCATTTCACCTGAATGCCTGAGAAATTTTCATAGAAAATATTCGTCCTTTGACAGGATTCGAACCTGCATCCTATACAGAACCGTCATTTACGCTGACGTGCCTTACCGTCTCGGCCACAAAGGAGCGTTCGGTAGGTAAGGTCGAATTTACTGCTTAACTATCGTGATCCTACAAGAACCGGTGTTTCAACGTGTTATGGTTGCAAGCCTAGAGAGAGAGAGAGAGAGAGAGAGAGAGAGAGAGAGAGAAACTGAGAGAGACGTAGAGAGAGAAATAGATAGATAGAGATATTGGAGTAGAGAGACAGGGGAGATATAGAGAGGGGAGATAGAGAGAGGGGAGAAGGATAGGGAGAGAGGAGAGAATAAGAGACCGGGAGATATTAAGCGAGAGGGAGAGAGAGTGATAGAAAGAGAGAGATGGAGATAAAGGGGTAGAGAGAGAGAGATGTTGAGAGAGAAAGATAGAAAACGAAAAGAGAAACAGGGAGAGACAAAGAGATAGAGAGAGATAAAGTGAGAGGGAGAGAGAGAATGGGGTTAGAGAGGTGGGGAGAGAGAGGGAAAGAGTAATAGAGAGTAGGGAGAAGAAGTGAGAAGGGAGTAAGAGGAGAAACAGGGGGAGTGACAAAGAGACAGAGAGAGAGAGGAAACGAGAGGAAGAGAAAGAGAGATATGAAGATAGAGGGGTAGGGAGAGAGGGGAAGAGAGGAGGAGAAAGAGGAAGAGAGAGAGAGAGAGCGAGAGACAAAGAGACACAGAGAGAGAGATTATGCTAGCGGGAGAGATAGAGAGGGAGATAGAGAGATAGGGAGAGGGTTAGAGAGAGAGAAAAAGAGAAATAGAATTAAGGTCTGAGACATGGTTTATTCTCATTGTTTCAACCTTGTACCATAATGCATGTTTCGTCATGTTACAACGCTGAGGTAATCAAGAGGAGGGGGGGAGTGTTACAGTCCTGTGAAGTGTGCAGTTTGCAAAGTGCGCACTTCAAACGCGAAGCATTAGTTGCAATTGTCATATCAAAGACGATATCAAAGAAACGAGCAAAAGAGGAGAAGCGATATTTCTGTGTCTCTCCGGAAGAAGCGCATAAAAGCCCAATTTTTATTATTGTATTGGAATGGCGACGCCTGCAAAGGTTTTAAAATCACTAGCTCTCATTCTAGCTAGCTATCTGCCTGTCTATCTAGCTAGCCATTCTGTGTAAGATCAATTTTGCTATCATACACACTATCTTTACTTTAATACACCACATTTCAAGTATCTATCTATCTATCTATCTATCTATCTATCTATCTATCTATCTATCTATCACAAACTGTTCATATCTATCTATCTATCTATCTATCTATCTATCTATCAACCACTGTTCATCTATCTATCTATCTATCTATCTATCTATCTATCTATCTATCTATCTATCTATCTATCTATCTATCACAGACTGTTCGTATCTATCTATCTATCTATCTATCTATCTATCTATCTATCTAAGACTGTTCGCATCTATCTATCATAGATTGTTTATATCTCTCTATCTATCTATCTATCTATCTATCTATCTATCTATCTATCACAGGCTGTTCATATCTATCTATCTATCTATCTATCTATCTATCTATCTATCTATCTATCTATCTATCAAAGACTGTTCATATCTATCTATCTCAAACTTTATCTTTTACAGTTTCCGTCTCAGCCTCTCTCATTTATATATACAGAGAGTTATATTGAAAGAGAAAGAGAGAGAGAGAGAGAGAGAGAGAGAGGGAGATAAAGAGAGAGTGGGAGAGAAAGAGAGAGTGGGAGAGAAAGAGAGAGAGAATATTAAATATATTTTTCTTTTGTATCTATAAATGTGTCTGTGCCTCTCTCACTCTCTTCAGAGCGCTATCTATTTGTATATCTCTGTCCATTTGAATTTGTTTCGATGTGCTTTTTTCTTTCTACTTTAATCTCACAGTGTTTATTTATATTAAACCTATTTTCTATCACTACCAATTCCTGTGTGTTCATCAATCAATTTTTTCCGCATTCGTCTTTTTTCACCGTTTTTATCTCCCCCACCTTTTTTCAGTTAACAGTTAATATGCACACTTACATCGGGAGCACCGAACAATTTTATTACACCTGCGGCAATAAAACAACATTGATAAATGGTTTCATAAAAAGTAAGATAGAAAACGGATAATCTTCATTTCGTGGAATGTGAAATAAATTTAGACTAACGATGGAACACTCACTAAATTATTATTATTATTGTTTTTATTTCCTTTGATTTCTGGCCTGTACATATTTATTTCCGGGTCCCGTCCAGAGAAATAAGGTTAGTTATGGCATCATGACACTTTCCACTGACAAAAAAAAAAAAAAAAAAATTACATAAATAAGACCCTTCGTAAAGTGTGGGCTGTACTCGTGAGAACAACTTTTTGTATTTCTTTAAGGCATGGGCTTCCAGGAATCCCTTCAATTAGTCTTCTGGAATCTTTTCCAACCAATCCTAGGGCTCCAACTACAACAGGGATTGTTGATGTTCCAATGTGCCACATTTTTGAGTTTTCTATTTCAAGGTCCTTGTATTTTGACAACTTTTTGAATATCTTCAAAGATACATTGAGTCAGCAGGGACTGCCATATCAATAAGGAGGCACTTTTTTGTTGTTTGTGATCTTTAATAACAATGTCTGAGCGGTTGGCTTTGATTGTTCTGTCAGTGTGTATTGTGTAGTCCCATAGAATTGTAACAGGTCCTATCTCCGTAACCAGGTCTGGGTGGTATTATTATTATTATTATTATTATTATTAATATTATTATTATTATTATTATCAGAGGCCTTGCTATTGGACGTAGTTTATCGTCTCATCCAAGATTCGGATGTAGTTTATCGTCATAAGCAGGACGGCTATATTTTGGAGTGATTAATGTCTTGTATATATATGGTATATATGGAGTAATGTATAGCGGCTCAGATTGAGGAACCGGAGAGCCGAGTTCGAATTCCAGTCAGATCCATTATATTCACGTACGTGCTAATAACCTTGGGAAAGCTCTGAATCCTCTTCTGCCGTCCGCTAAAAGCTATGGGTAAATAGCCTTGGATGGCAACCGGTCAAGGAGAAGGTAACCCTGAATTCAAAACCGGCCTAGCCTGCCCACTTCCACTACAGTTGACGTACACGTTGTGCCCCTATAAACCCGATGGGTCACAAGATTCGCGATCGACTACGCAATATATGTTGTTGTTGTTATTATTATTATTATTATTATTATATTTCCTTTCATTTCTGGTGTGTACTCGTTTCGTTCAGGGTCCCGTCCCGAGACCTAAGGTTAGAAATGGCATCATGGCATTTTCCACTGAGCAATTAAAAATACAAACAAACAAACAAAAACATATTTTACATAGATAAAACCCTTCGTAAGGTGTGGGCTGTACTCGTGGGTGCAATTTTTTGTATTTCTTTTGGCTACCAGGAATCCCTCCAATGATTGTATCAGAACATTTTCCAGTCAATCCGAGGAATCGAACTATAACTGGAATTGTTGATGTCCTCATGTACCATATTTTTAAGGGTTCGATTTCAAGATCCTTGTTTTTTAAAGATCTTCAAATATACATTACAGTCTGCAGAAACTACCATGTCAATAAAAAAAGACTCAATTTTGTTTTGCAGTCTCTGATCACGATGTCTGGGCGATTAGCATTGATTGATCTGTCTGTGTGTATTGTAAAGTTCGATAAAATTGTTATAGGTCCTATCTCTAGAACCGGATTTGGGTGGTGTTCATACCATTTACTTGCAGTTTCCTTTCCTTAAATGTTGTAGATTTCCCAATGCAGTCATGCCTGGTTTTATATCAGTGCAACCTGATACAAAATGGTCAATTGTTTCTGGATATTTATCACAGAAACTTCATTTTGGGCTAACAAAATTTTTCAGTATGTGTGCGCGGTAATTTCTATTTAGCAAGCATTGGTTCTGTGCAGCAAAATTCTTCTTCTTCTTCTTCTTCTTCTTCTTCTTCTTCTTCTTCTTCTTCTTCTTATTATTATTATTATTATTATTATTATTATTATTATTATTATTATTATTATTATTTTCTTTGTTTTCTGGCGTTTACACATTTCTTTCCGGGTCCCACCCAGGGACCTAACGTTAGAAAATGGCATCATGACACTTTCTACTGAAAAAAAATATTACATAGTTAAAGCCCTTCGTAGAGTGTGGGCTGTACTTGTTAGAACAATTTTTTGTATCTCTCTGAGGCATGGACTTCCAGGAATCCCTTCAATTAGTCTACAGGAATCATTTCTAACCAGTCCTAGGGCTCCAACTACAACAGGGATTGTTGATGTTCCCATATGCCACTATTTTGAGATTTCTATTTCAAGGTCCTTGTATTTTGACAGCTTTTTGAATATCTTCAAAGATACATTGCAGTCAGCAAGGACTGCCATATCAATAAGGAGGCTCTTTTTTTGTTTGTGGTCTTTAATAACAATTTATTATTATTATTATTATCATTATTATTATTATTATTTTCTTTGATTTCTGGCATTTACATTTCTTTCCGAGTCCCACCCAGCGACCTAAGGTTGGAAAAGACGATAAACTACATCCAACAACAAGGCCTCTGATTGGGAGGTCTTGACGAGCGTGGAATCCCTTCTTAATTGCTGGTGTTCACAGGTCCAACCTGATACGGGGTGGTAGCATATGTTAGGGTCCCAACTATGGGCAAATATTCGAACCCAAAACTGGGGTGAAAACACTATAAAAGTGGAAAAATAAGGGTTTAATACCAGCAATACATTTTTGTAAAAGGTTATTACCAGCAATAAATTTTTGAAGAAAAATTACCAGCAATACAGTTTTGAAATAAAATTAAAAAAAAATTACCAGCAATAAAATTCTTGTCGGCATTAAATAACCCTTTGAGGTTGATATGCTGTAAAACAAAACAAACCAATCAAAATAACTCTTATCATGAAATGAATGCTGGACAGTTTTATCAAAAATGAGGAAGAAGCGTGAGGCAAAAGAACTGTAGTTCTACAGAAGGATATTGAGAATTTCATGGAATGATCATGTGAGCAATGACGAAGTTTTCAGAAAAATGGAAACAAAGAAGACTTTCATTTTTAGAATCAGAAAGAGTCAGATGAAATTTCTAGGGCACATAATGAGGAAAGAAGGCTTCGAAAATTTGATACTCACATGACATATTGAAGGAAAAGGAGAGGCAGATGAATGCAAAGACTAAACTACCTAACGACCTTGTGTAAATGGTTGGCAGGGTACCCATGTGTACTTTTCAGAGAATTAGTGAAAGCCTTGTAGCAGAGCCTTATAAAATATTTTTAATTCAATGTATCTAATACAAATAGTAACAATTTTATTTGGATTTATTCTTGAAATAGTAAAAGAAGCAAATTATTATGTATTTCTGTAGATTTTTTTTCAGACAATCTTTAAAACGAAATGCTGAAAAATTAATAAAAGCTATGAATCATTTTGGTGATTGGTGAAAGCTTTATAAAATTTATAATTTACTGAAGTTTTACAAACTTTATACGGACAAGATGCATTGCAAACGCACATTATTACTAAACAATTGTACCATCAAGTAAGACCTTTATTTGCTTCAAAGGGAAATTTTACTGAACAGTTTAGAAATAATATAATGTAATATATTATACAGTGCTTTAATTTTAGGGTGCTTTTAACAAACGATCCAAATTTAAAACATTGTATTTTATAATTTGTGTCCAGCATTATTTTTGTGTTATATAAACTTTAATGTATTTTTGTTTTTATTAATTATGATCATGCAAATAATCTTACAAATCTTATTCATTGAGTAGCTTTTTCTATAAACTTTTACACGTTTTTTACATCGAATAGAGTAAAATTGCATATTTTGTTTGTGGTGATCCACAATTAAAATTCTGGTTTGAATATATTTTCCATTCAATGTATCTAATACAAAAATATCAACCTTACTTGGATTTATTCTAGAAATACTAAAATGTTGTAGTCATTTTGTAAGCAAAAGCTTTCAGAAATTACGTGTTTTTGTACATTTTTTTCAGACGATGTTTAAAACTAAATGCTCAAAGATTGATAAAAGCCACGAATCTAATTTCTGGTGTCAGTATTTACCACATAAAACTGCAGCTTTTACACTGAGCGCAATGTCGATTTTCTAAAGAAGTAAAAAATCAACCTTTCCTAATCATCCAGTGATATAAAAAGATCAAAACAGAATCAGAAAAAATGGTTTATTGACATAATCGGATCGAAAAAAGTCAGCAAAGCGAAATTATATCCTGTAAAACGATGAAATTCCGATTGTATATGTTTCAGATCAGAGTAACTATTAAAAAAAAATAATTAAACTGAAGAAAAATAATATTTCTCGGCAGGAGACTTGCTGCCTCTTGTTCTACCGAATGCGACACCAGAGTTGATTAGCGGGAAAACGTAATGAGCAAAAAATTATAATAAGCTCGATAATTATCACAGGTATTTTTATCAGGTCTTACTATCAATGATTATTTATAATTTGCTCTGGCATCATTGGTGTTCCACTTCCCTCTAAGAAGCGATCGATATTCCTTGTATTTCTTCATTTTCTCTTCTCCAAGTATTACCAATTTTTATAAGAGGCCAATAAAGAAGTAAACGGCACTATTATGATTAAAACACACATATATATATATATATATATATATATATATATATATATATATATATATATATATAGCTAAACGACATAATAATTTCGTTATTTTTTGCTTGTTATTCGCTTTTCTTGTTATTTTTTAATCTAAATATCGACTTGTTTCACCTGCTTCAAAGTTTTGGATAATTAATTTGTCGGTTGGTTACGTCTTATCATCTGCTGTTGGGCCAATCAAGCGGGGGTAGACGTGGATGCTGATTGTAAAAATAAAAATAAAAATCGAAGGTTAGATCAAGGGTGGAGGCAGGGCAGGAAGCTAGAAAAAGAAACAAAATGAAGGAATTATGGCGAAAGGGAGTTGATATGGAAAAGATATGGTGTCGGCAAGAGAGTGAAAGCAATCAAACACACAAGCACAGCATCACGCATGCGCATATACACAGACAGATTGTATAAAAAATATAAAGATGGAAGATGAGAGAGTTACGGCGAATTTGGTCAACGAGAGAAAATCTTTAAGAATCATTGAGAAATCGATGAAATATGTATGTAGAAAGATAGAGGGAGGGAGAGAGAGATAGAAAAGAAGTATATTGAAGGAACGGAAAGATAAAACGGAAGAGATGAAGAAAGGGAGAGAAAATAATAGAGATAGAGAAAGAGAGAGAGAGATAGATAGATAGAGAGATCTGTAGAGAGAAGAAAGTGTTTGATAGACTATGAGAAGAGGTTAATAAATGTCGATAGAGAAAAAATGAGAGAAAGAGAGATTGAGAGTCATATGTAGAGAGAAGAAAATATTGGTAGACCATGAGAAGAGGTTGAGAAATATCGATACAGATAAAATGAGAGAGGGAAGGAGAGAGATAGAGAGGGATAGAGAGAGATAGAGAGAGAGAGAGAGAGAGAGAGAAAAAGAAAGAGAGAGAGAAAGAGAAAGAGAAAGAGAGAGAGAAAAGGACTGTATTGGTAGAGGTGAGATATATTGATTGAGAGAAGAAAGATTGTTAGAATGAGAAGAGAGAGAGAGACACACATACAGAAGAAAAGAAAGTTGTTAAAACAAAAGAGATAGATAATAAATTGGAGAGACGGAGGGGGAAAATAATGGCCGATAATATTGAGGCATATATAGAGAGAATAACACAATTGGTAGAATGATTGAAATGAGAGAGTATCATAAAATAAAGAAACGGGTGACATCACTATAGATAGATAGATAGATAGATAGATAGATAGATAGATAGATAGATAGATATGAACAAATTCAGATAGAGATAAACAGACTGGGATAGATAGATAGATAGATAGATAGATAGATAGA